ACTGCATGGCGTTATCATGGCCATTTTTAGAGCAGTAATAATACCTTTTCATAGAGTGATAAATGGCCCAGGCATGCAACAAATGTCTCATAGCTCTTAGGATTTCTTACTATATTTTATCTTGGCTTTGCGTGGTGCTTAATTTACAAGTGGGCCCTACTGCTTCCTCCATTCCCCAGTCGCCATTTTTTAATTTACATTACCTGTTGAACTTTCCTTATTATTCGACGCATCTGTTATTCGTTTAGTGACAAAATCATCCATGCAAACCGGTGTGCTGAAGATAGTGGGGGAGAAAAATGAGATGTCTTTGGCAGTCATTATTTTTGCTGTTGGACCTTCAAGATTTCACACTGCCTTTCTTTGAATAAACCATTAGGAACTGATGTTGCCATGTTATTTTTACACATCCGTTTTGGGGAGGTTCAAAGGGCTATTTGGTGTGTGCATAGGCACAAGCAATAAAAACTCAGTGAATACGTCAAAACCCTTCAGGGTGCTGAAGGCCCTCCCCCCGCCTTCTGTAACTGTTATGAGAATAATTCATTAGGATTTGGGGTGTCCTATCACCTTTTTTTGCGAGCCACTCAAAGTCTCGTCTCAAATATCCCTATGGTTGGCCCTAAAGGTGTGGGAGCTGTTGAGTTTTAAGCTGGAGAGTTTCATCTTCCCAAGTTCATCTGTCAAGTGTGGAGCTTGGATTGAGCGTGTGGGACTGTGGGAAGTCAGTGAGGAAGGACATGGAAACCTTCAGCAAGCGAGCCAGGGTAGCGGAGATGGAGGGAAGGGGAATAGATTGAGAGCTAATGGAAAGCGACGCTTACAGGACATGGAGACACTGGCCCCTGACGATGAGGCTGGACAGAGTCTGGGATGATTCCCGTGTTGTACATGGTGAGTGGTGACGGGGAGGGGGGGTCACTGCAGACCCACAGTGTGACATGCTAGAAACCGGGGTTCCTGTCCTCACTCTCCGTCACTGGCACTATGATTGTAGGGGCAGCACTTACCAGCCTTCACCCATTTCTTCATCTGTCAGAGGAAGCAGAACAGTGTGCTCTGCCCTGCCCACATCTCAAGGTTATATTGGAGCAAACGAGGGCACGTGACGATGTGACTCCGGAGGTAGTATTGTCCCCTGTGCCCCATAATTATGAAATCTCAGGTAAAGTTGTTTTGGAAACATGTAGTCTTAATAGTCATTTCAAATCGGTGACAAGCCTTTGAAGACATGACTTAGGTCGTTAGTGAGAAGGTGAAATTGTAAAACCAGTGCCTTCATGTTTTAAGAGCCTAATGTGCCCAGGTACTAAAGGGGAATGACTTACAGTACAGAGGCATTGTTCACTGTACATGAGGCCAGGTTTCCGACGACCTTAAAAAGTAAAAATAAAAAATTGCATTGTCTCTCCATACCAGCCAGACGCACATTTTATACATTCCTTACTTTCCTCTTTTTTTTTAATGAGCGATTTGAGGTTATTGTGTTTTGGCCCAAATTAAGTCTAGTTGTTTGGCTGTTGCTGTAGGTTCGTGGGAGTCCATTTACTGAATTTCCTGTCAACCACAACATATGTACTTGTGATTTGAACTGGCATGAGATAATTTCATCCTTGAAAATCTAAATGCCTTTTGTTCTCTCCCTTACTAAATGGTCTATAATTTGTCACCAGAGCATTTTTGTTTCTCAACTTGGGTTAAAATAGGAAGGTGTGTATACTAAAACTTGTGATGAACATTAAGGCACGTGATGCTCCTTGTTATTTCTGGATGTGTGAACTTGTGTGTGTGGCTTCTTTAAGTTAGTATAACGTTTTCAAGGTTCACCTACGTTGAGGCACGTATCGGTACTTCTTTTGTTGATGTTGTTTTGTGGCAGAATGTTCCATTGTATCGATAAGCCCTATCTTGTTCACCCATCTGTCTGATGACTGACGTTAGGGCTGTTCCCACCCTTAGGCTATCATGAATAATAATGCTGCTATGTCTTTGTTGGAGTACCTGTTTTTAATTTTGGGGGGCATTTACCTAAGAGTGGAATCATTGGGTCATATGGTAATGTGTCTTTTATGTTTTTAACCTTTTTTTGGTTCAGTATATTTCCAGAACTCATTACAGACCCCTTTACATTTGAGAACAGTTATATGGAACATACGATACTTTGCTTGATGTTCCTGGCAGTCGCTGTGAATATAAATGATTACAAATTGCTGTAATAGGGTACAGATGCTCTTAGGATGTTTGGACTCGCTGTCTAGTGTTCCTGCTTTTCTTTTTCTCTGCGGCATTGCCAAGCCTTGCCAATGAATGAGAGATGAGGAGCCTCTGCAGTGAGGTTGCCTGGGTTCAGATCTCACCTTTACCACTTACTGGCTCTGTGACTGTACAAGAATTTTCTCTCTGTGCCTCAGTTTCCTCATCTGAAAAACCGGGCTAGCAACACTTTGAACCTCCCAGGGTGATTGTGAGTATTAAAGGGGCCAGGCCCTCTGCATCAGCCTGCTAGCGCGGCCATAACAAAATACCACTGACTGGGTGGCTTAAATGACAGGAATTAATTTTTTCAGAATTCTGAAGGGTAGAAGTCCAAGAGGGTTGCTTACTTCTGAGGGCTCTGTCCTTGGCTTGCAGATGGCGACCCTCTTGCTGTGTCCTCACATGGTCTTACCTGTGCACACGCATTTATGGTGTCTCTGTGTGTCCCCATTTCTTCTTGTAAGAACATTGGTCGGATTGGATTAGGGCCCATCCTAATGGTTAACTATCTTTAAAGGCCCTATCTCCATATCCAGTATAATCATATTCTAAGGTACCGGGGATTTAGGGCTTCAACATGGGAATTGGGGGTCAGCCCATAGCACTCCTGAAGCCCTTGGCACGGCACATGCATCCTCAAAGCTGGCTGGTGGGGGTGGGGGTGGTTACAGGACCCTACTTCGTCCCCTCTGATTGGCCCCATCAGTTGTGCCTGAGCCTGGGAACCAGATAACCCCACTTGGTTAGTTAGCGTCTCTCCCAGAAGTACGAGTGAATGCGTACGTCCCTGTGGAGGGCACACAGGGCGCTCCGCTTTCATAACTCTGTAGCCTCCATTTCATTGCTCTGAAGATTGGGCTTCATTTATGGCCCAGTTTTTGTTCCAGAAAGGTAAGCTTGTCAGTCAGCTAAGTTCCAGATAAGTGCTGGGGCGCTTCAGGAGGCATTTGAGATGACTGAACACCTAGTATTTTCAAAATGGCTTTGTTACATTTTAGAAGTTGTGGTTAAATGCACGTAACATAACATTTCCCATTTTGACCGTTTTTCAGTGTACGATTCAGTGCCTTGCATACATTCACAGTGGTATGCAGCTATCACCACTGCCTACTCCACGATGTCCTCAGCGACCCAAACAGAAACCCGGTACCCATTAAACAGTAGCCCTCCCTCCTCCGTCCCCGCAGCCCCTCTGCTCGGCCTCTCCTGTTCTCTCTTTAATCCTGCCGGTTCATAATAAACGCCTGATGAGGAAGGACACAGGGAGGTCGTCACAGGTGACAGAGATTTGGGCCTGGCCTGCTTCACCGTCTCCTTCACCTCTCACTATAAGCTGTCTTTGAAATGGCTTCATTCATTTGCACAGAATGACAAGATTCTGTACCAAACATGCATGGGAAAAACGTGTGCCGTGGGGAGCAAAAGTTGTCTCCTGCTTAGCATGCACTCAGGCGGATTCTGTGACATCCAGCCTCTCTGTCCCTGTCCCAGCGGCATGGATGGAGGTGCAAAGCCCTGGCCCGCTGACCCCCCCCCACGCACCCCCCAGTGCCGTGTGTGACCCGTTGTCCCCTGTGCTTGCAGACCTACATCGGCTCCATCATCGCATCCGTGAACCCCTACAAGACCATCGCCGGCCTGTACGAGCGCACCACCATGGAGCGCTACAGCAAGTGCCACCTGGGGGAGCTTCCCCCCCACATCTTCGCCATCGCCAACGAGTGCTACCGCTGCCTGTGGAAGCGCCATGACAACCAGTGCATCCTCATCAGGTAACCGGCACCCGGGGCACCGCTGGCGGACGGCTGCCCGGGGCACCGCTGGCTCTCCAGCGTTCCCAACCGCCTGCTGGCGTCTGCGCGAGCAGCGCTTCCCCAGCCAGCCACCCAAACATCTGCGTCTACATTATTCTAGATGGAACCTCCCAAATTGGAGAATTTTTAGTGATTTTTAATTGGATGCTCCTAAAGCGTACATTTGAATTGGCTGTAGAAAAGGGACTTTTAGGGAGAAGCATATGTTAAGGGAATGATAGAAGGGAATGCCTTATTTAATTTCTTTTGGAGCACGAGGAGGGTCTTAACATATCTATTTCAGCTCAGTCTTATTTATTAAAATAAACTACCAGAAGCCCCACTATCAAAACATTTATTACTAGGAACTGTCTAAAAAAGAAATGGAATCTATTTTTTCTTTAAAAATAGTTCTTAATTTTTATTAACTCAAATTGGCCTCCTCACCTATATTCTAGTGACATCTTCTTGGATCTGCTTATTAATTATTTACGTTGGAATCCTAGTCCCGTGACGATCAGAACGCCCCTGGATGGTATCCAAGGCCGGCGTGCGCTGAGTGTCACTCTTAGTGAGGTTTCCATGGAGCCTGCAGGCACGTCATTCAGCTGTCCTGCCGGCATTCACTCATGGAGATGGCTGTCACTGAGAGCCAATAGTGTACCCAGCAGAACTGCCGGGGTGAAAGAAGATTTTGACATCTGTTGTAGATGGCTTTCTAGTCCCAACTTGTGGCAAAATAATGATATTATTTCAAGAGGCAAGGGGTGTTTGGATTTGGGGAAGGGGACAACGAAGGCTCCACTGCCCCCTCCAGATTTCCGATTCAATGGAATTCAGGCCCAGGAGACAGATGGACAGCCATATGGCAGCTTTAGACCTCCAGCCAATCAGGTTTGCTGACATTGCAGCCCAAAATTAGACAGACCCACCTGGTCATGGGTACAGGCAGGTACCCGGTGGCCACAATCACTGTGGGAAACCAGTTCCCAGATGATGAGCACCCCAGCCCTACCCCACAGGGCACCTATCAGATTAGCCACTCCCACTCCTGTGGGAGGGTGGGGGTAGGCAGGCATGACAAAGGAGACCCCTCATTGAAACCCCAGGGAAGGAAAAGGAAGGGGGCCCCCAGCCAAAGATATTTGGGAGGTACTCACACTGCCCTGTGTGGTATCTGATTGGAGATGGGTAAGAAATAATGACTAACCTTCTTTGAAGGGTTGACTGCGTAACGGACACTGTGCCAAGAACTTTTCAGGCATCAGCTCGCGGAAACCTCCCAACAGCCCTTTGCTCTGTATGGTATCTACAGGTGCCCGGACACTGACACACTGTCAGGGCTTGTGTTCTGGCTGGCTGTCTTTACCCATAACTCGTGTGGTCCTTGCTTTGTAGCAAATCAGAATTACATGAATAAGAACGATGGAACAGTGCCTTTCTCATTCATATTTCCACTCCCACCCCCACCCCCACCTCTCAGCCTGCTTCTATCTACCTCTCTAAGGGGAGGGAAGTATCTGGGTTGGTATGTTTTCTTCTCTCTGTCACCTTAACGGTACAAATGAGCTAGGCAGTGGAAACCACTTGGAAAGAGAGACTGTCAATTTATTCAGTTAAGTAAATATGAATGATGATAACTTACAGTTCATCAAAATGAAGCTACTTGCTTAATATTAAAAACAGCCTTTGAGAGCCACATTCCCAATGAAGTAACTTGCCTCATGACTAGAAGCACTATTTGTGGGTTCTCTCAGATGACGTCACTAAAGTTCAAAAGTTAGAATTTGAGATCACTATTTCAGCATGCAGAATCTGATGTAATAAGATAAGCAGAAAGAGAACTTAATCTATTTTAAGGAGATCAATAGTTTTCTACACTGAGGTGCCTATTTGCCATTGATAATTGCTTGTGCTCATTACTTTAAGTGGAGAGAATGAGAACACGGTTAATGTACCACTTGCTAGATGGAGCAACTTGGGAAGAAAGTAAAAAAAAAATCAAGTGAAGGGGAGAGAGAGGGGGGGGGGAGAGGGAGAGGGAGTGTGTGTGTGTGTGTGTGTGTGTGTGTGTGTGTGTNTGTGTGTGTGTGTGTGTGTAATAAAATGGAAAGGGGTTGGCATTTTCATGCCAAAGGCTGTGGTCTTTAAAAGTCAGGTGGAGGGAGGAGGGGACGGGGAGAGGGGGTAGATCCCAAACAGAAAGCTCCCATTGTGAAATGCTGATGTGAAAAGAGGAACTCTTTATCTAAACTCAGGAAACAGTCTTTAAGAATAGATTTCTCATTAAAATGTGTTTTGGTTTTTAATAGCTCTTTCCAGCAGTTTTTTTTTTTAAGTGGGGTTTGAGGCTGTGGGAATTAAGAGAAAATTGAGTATAAAAATAAAAATCGCAGGGTGCAGGAGCCCTATTTAGATTTCCTCAGGCATGGTCTGCCCCCTGGTGGAGACAACGTGTTTTTACTGCTTCGAAAACATCTCATGCAGATGCATTGTATTGGGTTGTTGGAAAAGTCATGATGCATTTTTGCAACGAAAAACAGAAAAAATATGTCATGACTTCTCCGACAACCCAATAAATCAGAAAATAAGCCTCTTTGGAATTAGACAGGGCTTTTTAGATCAGTTTTTCTCTCATTTTATGAGCCCACATCTCTTGGCCAAGGTCCCCAGCTAGTTGGTGGCAATGCCACGTCTCTCGGCTTCTAGTCCAGGCTTCCTTTGTTGGTCTCACTTTCAAGTTGTTATCTCTCTTAAGATCTCATTTTATTTTAATGTCTTGTGCACATTTAAATGAATGTTTGTGCTATTATAGCTTTTAAAATATAAACATATAAGTTATAAGTTTAAAACTTACTGGAATGTTTTTTCTTCTAACTGACATGGTCAGCATTTGATCTTGGTTGAGCTAGTGCATTTCGCATTGACTTCATGTTTTCATACATTGTGTTGGGCAGGCAGCGTTTAGTTGATTATGGGCTTTTCAGTACCTGTGACCTTCTAAGATACTTAGTGTAGGCGAGGCCTGTGGCTAATTCACCTTTGCCCAGGACAGTGTCTGGTAGAGGGCCAGCCTTCAACAGCTGTCAATCGAAGGATGGATAAGAGGAGCAACTTTTGGTTTAGGACCTCTGCTTGCTTTGCACGTTTTGGTTTTCTTCTTCACTGTGTCTTCTGTACTCTGGAATGTTAATTGGGTGTTTGGTCTTTTTCTATTTCTGGTAATATATTGAGAAATGACTGGATTGGAACAGTGAGCAAAACGCGCGTCCTGGGTTAGAAAGCTACCAACCAGAATAAGGCATGGGCGTGCCTATGCTCAGGTAATAGGGCAGGTTCCGTGTGAAGCTTTGGGGATTAAAAAAATAAAAAATAAAAAGAATGAGACCCGATCGCTGCCCTTCCGGAACTTCTGCTCTGATGGGAAGAAACTGATATAGATAAGTAATTTCAATACAACTTGCCAAATGGTATAATAGAAATATGTACATGGGAGCCAAGACAGTATTTCATAGAGAAAGTACCATGTGATCATGAATTCAAGAGTATGTAGGAACACTGCTGGCATGGGGGGCAGAGGGCACAGAAGCATTTGCACAAACATGGCTGTTTAGAAGAACAAGGATAAGTCGGAAATGGAAGGTATGCTTATCAGGCTGTGGGCTTTGCTAAGGGAACTGCAGGAGCTGGAGAAAGACCGTGAAAAGAAACACGTTTATTGAGAAAGACCGATTTGTGTGTCATCCTCGGAGAAGCTCAAGACGCATTTTCTGTGGGGAAGCTGAGGATCACAGCTGTGGAGTGACTTGCCAAAGAGACGTTAGCTCTGAACGACAGACAGGATTTGAACTTGAGTCTCCCTGGGTTCGTTCTAGGACAGAATCCTAATTCCTGGTACTGGGTTGCACCTTAAGGGCTTTGTCCTGCTTGCTGAACTGAATCCTCTAGGGAGCAGAGCAGTTTCCTTGGTCTTCTGCAAGCACCAGAGTGACTGATTGTGCTTTGAGGAAATCATATGAATCAGGGGGATTTGATCCACAGGATGGAGGTGTTTGTCAGGAGTCAGCAAAGGGATTCTGTAAAGGGCCAGGGAGTAAGTATGTCAGGCTTTGGGGGTGAGACTGTCTCTGTTACAACCAGTGGACTCAGCCCTTGGAAGCGCTCGTGATGTGCAAATGAACCGCTGGGCTGTGTTCCGATAAAACTTTATTTACAAAAGCAGGCAGCAGGGAAGATTTGGGGGCCATAGTTTGCTGACACCTGCCCTGGGAAGCTGGCCTGGGGGTGGATGAAGGGCCCTGTTCACATCAGAGGCCCTCCTTCCTGTGTATTCCCCACCCCACCCCGCCGTCCTGGGGACGTTGCTCCATCTTTGAGTCTCCCCACCCCGATTTTTTACCTCTCCCTTTCTCCTGGATCATTGGCATTCTCATTTAAAAAAATTTCAGTGTGTCTCATCTTTAAAAAAAAAAAAAAAGCACCTTTGGTTCCACACCCCCTTACACCACACGGTCCCCAGCCCCCATGGTGCACCATCACTCTGGGTTTCTTCCTCGTCCTCTAGGCACGCCTCTGCTCCTCAGCTATTGTCTGGCTGTTCTTACCAACCTGCCTTTCCTTCTCGGCTCGGCTCGTCGTGACCCCGCAGGCTTCCGCGCTGGCCCCACCCACTTCTCTCCAGTTCCACACGTCAGTACGTCCGTCCGTCCACGTGCCCCTCAGCTGTCATCACAGAGATGTCTCGTGGGCATCTCAGGTGGCCTGTCCTAAATTCATTCAAATTTTCTCCCAGAAATGGGCCCCTCTTCTCATACTCCTCATTCTCAGCAAGTGGACTGTCCCTCTTATGAGGTCCCAAGCCTGACTGAGATCAAGACGTCCTTCTTGGATCTAGAAGGCATCTCCCCCCAAATTAAGGTAAAAGTACACGAAGTAAATTGTACTGACCTGACACATGCAGTTTGATGAGTACTGACAAA